TCCCTGCAGGGCTGCTCTCCAGCCCCTCCTCTCCCAGTTTACAGTTGTGCCCGGCATTACTGCATCCCAGGTCCAGAATCCCGCATTTTGACTTGTTAAATTTCATCCCATTAATCACAGCCCAATGCTGCGGTCTGCCTAGATGCTTCCGCAAGGCCTCCTGTCTCCCCAGGAGAGTCACCAGCACCTCCCAGTTTGGTATCATCAGCAGACTTGCTAATGGTGCATTCAGCTCCTGCCTCCAGACCGTTGAGAAGAAAATGCACTGGGCAGAACTGGCCCTCGAATTGAGCCCTGGAGCCCTGAGGAATGTTGCGAGTTGGGAACACTTTGGGCTCTGCCTTTCAACCAGTTCTTCACCCAGTGCCCAGTGAACCTGCTCATCCCACAGCAGGACAACTTGTCCAGAAGGATTCTGTGAGAGACACTGTCAGAAACCTTACTAAAATCTTGAAAAATTACATCCACCGATTTCCCTTCATCCACTAGGCGGGTGAGCTTACCATAGAAGTGTGTCACATTAGTTAAACAGGGCTTTCCCTCTGTGAACCCATGTTAACTGTGCCTGATGAATGCATTATTCTTTAAATTCCTTTCAACAATAAGCAGTATAATCTTTTCCATAATTTTTCCTGGAACTGAGGTTAGACTGACAGGTCTGTATTTCCCTGTAGTAGTTTCACTTAATCTGAAAATTCAGGGCATTGGGTGTACTTTCTGTTAATTAGTTATTTTTAAAGCAACTCCTAAATAATTGTTAAGTGGGGACATATTTAATTTGAATGATTACTTCTTTGTTCCTTGCTTACTCTCTTTCCTTCTCTTTTTCTCTCTCTTTGTGTCTATCCACATTTTCAATATTATTGCTTCTGTATTATATCCTCATCTTTCTGGTGAGTGTAATGAAAAGAAAGAGAGAAATTCCTCCTGGAAAAACTAACAATTACCATGGTTGAAAGTATGAAACAGAACAGAGATTTGAAGTTACATTTCATCTCCATGCCTGTTGCTTTCATTAGGAGAAGTGAGATGGTTGCTAATGGTTTCACCTTTACCATTTGTCACATTTGCTGTAAGTCAGACTATGAGCTTTCCCTCAGGTTCTCTTTTTAGATGAAGAGTTTTTAGGTGTGTCAGTCATGTTGCGGCCTCATTAGTGTCTGTGTGACATCCCTCAGGACACAGGAAAGGGTGGCACATTGCTCTTCGGAGCACAGCCACAGCACACATGAGAAACTAGCAAGATAGATCAATATTGCCTGTGAAAGTTTCAGCTTTTTCGAGCTGAAAGAACGTCTGGAAAATATTTTAAGTGGTGTATGAGTCCAGGAACCATAATATATCATAGTAGCTAGGTGATTTGCCTGTCTGCCATTCACAGTCACTGCTAGAAGAAGTGAGACTTGCATTGTAACGTGGAAAACCTGATTGAGTCCATTTTCACCACAGAAGCGGTTGAGTGGGTGCTACTAAGCATGCAAAGAATGGGGGTGGCTAAAGGAAAAGTCCAAAAACCTCAAAAGCTCAAACAATGCTTTCTGCTTCTGTCAGTGCCTTCTGCTTTCAAGCACTTGCAGTCTCAGGTTAACTGCCCAGATCTTATTTTCTTCTGGCTTTTCCCCACTGGAATAATTATCCTTCTAAATAGTCTTTCAGTGCCAATGATCACTTAGCTAACAGTTTTGTGGAAGTCAATGGCTTTATGTTAATTTTCTCTTTTCAAGTGAAAAATAAAGTTTACTTGAGACAATTGGCCGCTGCTGTCGTTGAAGAGGAGTTACAGCTGCCCTCTTCAGGTAGTGGAGAACAAAGTTGCCCATCTAGTCAGCTCTGCGTGCCTTCAGGGTGATGGTCATAAAATTCTGCATGCACCTAAGATGTCATTCACGTTTAGAAATATATACTTCAGTGTATAAGCCCTGTTTTGTCCTGTATTTTCCCTTTGAAAACAGTGGAAACTAATAATCTAATAGAAGTTGTATGTTCTGTGGATATGTATCCACATGGGTAAGAATGTGTCTGTACTTTCATGTACTTAGACAAAAGTTCGTAGAAAGTTCACCAAGCTCAATAGTACTTGTACTTGAACCAAAATAAGAGTATCCCAAAGTGACATTGGCACAATGTAGCTTTTGTAAGTGTGTTAGTGTTGCTCTTGTTTATTTACTGTGGCTGGGGACATTTCTCATATTTATGATACAAAGTCAGAACAAGACTGTTCCTGTCCCAAGGGCTCGCATCCTAGAGAAGAGACAAGTGGATGCCATAAAGGGAAACAACACACTGGCAGTATGCAAAACATCAGCAGCAGTGCAAGAGCAGCCTTGAATCCTAGTTTTCCCATAAAGCTTGTGATTTGCTTAAGGCTCTGTCTCCTAGAATTCATTTATTAACTTAGTTTTCATATGTTTTCCTTGGTTCTAGCACACACAATTGGAAATGTGACACTGAATAGATAAGTCACCATTGTGTGACCAACAAAAGCCCTCCAAATGTTTGCTTCTTAATTGTGAGCTTGTCTTTTCATTTTGGAGGGAAATAAAGGAGTTTAAATGGTTGAACCTAACTAATGACTGCAGTAGAGGACAGCTAAACAGCCATACTAACATCTCTTGTTACACTCTACTAACACTTGTGGGAAATTTAAGTCAAAAGCTTCTGATTTGCTTATATTGGTATAAATTTCAGAAATAGAATGCAAAAGTGCTCTTGAAATGGCCGGAGTTTGGGTTAGGGAGAATCTGAGGTGGGTATATGAAGCCAGGCTATTGAAGTGTCCGTATAGCTACAGAGTTTGGGTTATTTTCCCCAATAGACTGATGAGTCAAAATATTCAGTGGGCATAAAGGTTCATCAAATACATAAAATCAAAATAATTGCATAGACCCTAACAGTAACTCCTGTTCCTCTCCAGAGCTCAAATTTTGTTGTCTTGCAGTTCCTTACATCTACAGTTTTCCACGTTTAAGAATTTAGCTCCGGTGGCCACCTGAGAGTAGAAAAGCCTTTCAAATGTCAAACAAGCCCAATGACCATTTTCCTAACTGCCCTTTTCCAGATGCTTGGAAATTTCTAGGATCATAACACAGGGGAGGAAAAAAAACACCCAAAATAAAAAAATCGCAGATGACATATCTTGTGTTCCCTTTGCCATCTTTTAAGTGTCAGGATATCTTACTTTGTTGAAGTTGTAAAGAAAATTTTAAAAATAAGTATTTTCTTAACACCTTTCTTATCGCAGGCATGGCTAAACTTAGGATGCTCTGCTATTCCAGAGCAATACCTTGCACTGTTGATTATGATGGTCAAGGTGGTAAAGCCACCATGCTTCCCCAACTAAGCAAATGATTTAACCACCTTCTAAATGTAGAAGACCTAAGAATAATGACAATAGTAAATACTTTTTGTCTTGCATGCCATGGCACAGCAAATTGGATCATGTTAGGCTTTGTCTGCTGCCTAATGCAATGTAACATAGCAGATAAAATAAATCAAATGGGTGACACTCTATTAGACTTGAAAGATGATAGCTCTTGTAAAGCAACTGATGTGAGAATATGTCAATGAAGTACATTTCAGATGTTTATTGAAGTCTTGAGTCTTTGAAACCCAGCAAATGCATATTTTAAGAGCTATGACTACAAATACAGCAGTATGCTTATTACTGACAAAGCTGTTGCCTGAAACAGAATCCAGCTAAATTTTATGTTTTCTCCCTGTGCTCAATTCATTTTTTCATTTCTGCAACTGCTTCCTAGAGACATTGGCTTGAACTTCAAAGCGTACTGCTACAAAAGCTTTGGTGATTATCATGGTAGCTAGACTCAGAATTTTTAGTTACAAATGTTCACTACAAAAGTCCCTACCAAAGATAATTTTAAATTTCAGTTAGGTAGGATTTAGTAATATGGATTCAAAGAACTAATATAAAATATTTTTTTTTATTCCTTTCAACACTGTAATAAAAAGTCATGTTTATTGGGATAAATTTTAAGGATCATTTTAATTTGTGTTTCTTTCTTCTATTTCTTCCAACTGTTTGTTCATTTTGAATGCTTATAACAATTCACTGTGTGATTCATGACTTGACCCTTTAAATAGTTGATCTGCTAATTATCTTTCAATAAATAAACAGGGAGTTGCAGTAAGGGATGTAACTAATTAGGAAGTCTGTGAAGTCATGCCTATTCTCTTTACTTAAAGCTGTGTTCTTTTTTGTTTCTGTTTTGTTTGCTTTGTGAAGGCAGAATGCTCAGCTCTCACTCAATCTGCAGTTTAAATAAATATTTGATCATTATGATGGCATTGTGAATTAAATTTTTTAAAAATATAGACCACAAAACAACAAGTTTTTTTAATTATTTTTTGATACCTGAAAAAAGAGTGGAAGCACCTTTATTTATTAAAATAACGTGGCCTTCCCAAATACAGTGTTTATTTTATAAAAATTTTAGTAAAGTTTAGAAATAAAATGTTACATTAGTTAAAAAATAATTTAAAAGAGCTTCTTTAATAAATTTGTCTTCTAAGTCAGATTTTTTTTTGAGTTCTCAACAGCAGAATAACAGATGAAGAATAGCTGTGAAGGATAAACCTGCATTTATGAAGGGGGTGTGCCCCCATAAGTTTCTAGATTTGTTCTCCATTAATTTTAATTCTGTAGGATGTTGTCAGAATCTGATAGCATATTGTTAAGGACATTTGGGTACTATGCCTTTAATTGTGGTTTGTAATCTGGGATTTCTTTTAAGTTTAGTTTCTGTGAGTACTTACAAGTTTTAGAGTTCTTCACACTTGTTCTTCAGATTATTAAAATGCTTCTCTAATGTACCTTCCTCAACAATTTCCATGTACTCATATTTGAAATTAATGTTACCGTTAATATCTAAAGAAAAAAAAATAACATTAAATGTGTTTGGGTTTTGTTATAGGTATTACATGATAAAACCAATAACCCAAAACTAGAACAAAAATATAATTAACTTTATTTCTCTGTTTAGCCCACTGTTTGTGAACGGGAGCTCTGTGTATTTGCTTTCCAAACATTAGGAGTGATGAACGAAGCTGCTGATGAAATTGCAACTGGGGCTCAGGTAGAATTATCTAATGCTTATTACATGTCTAATTTTCTATACTCAGTCTTCTCAGTCTCTTCTAGTATTTATTTTTACTTGTATTTCCCATACGAATGCTCTTTGGTAAGTATTATTTATTTGTCCACTCTTATAGCTCTAAATACACTGCTTTATGCATGGCATTTTCAGACAGTACTAATGAGGTTCTTCCATTGTTTTGCTTCCATGTAATTAGAGTAACCCTGTTTTCTTGTTCTGTTTTATTCAATTGGGTCACCTGGGTTGTTAATAAAGGCAGCCATTGTCATTTGGAGATAATTCCCATTTATTTTCACCTAATGAGCCATTACTACTCTGATGCAATTAATAAGCTACTTCCTGTTCATGGTGTTGGGATGCAGCTATCCACTGAGCATCTGTTGTTTTGATCATTAAATAACAGTGGGAAAGTCCTTACTCATGTTGCTACATAGGGGTTTTTTCCTCTCTTCTAAAGGATCAGGAATTTAATATAAGCTTGCTTTCTGACTCTAAGTTCAGTTATTAATGAAGTTATTATAATATCGTCGTTTTCTGTCCTAATTTTGTGTGTGCCTTAAGACAAACTATTTTAAACTGTATTTCCAAATCACCATTTAACCTTAGTACAGTACAGGTACACAAGTTGAAAGGTCTTATGTTTAAGATCCTTTTAAGATCTTAAATTAAAACTTTACTCATCTTACTGAAAAGTGCATTCCTCTCTGACTTCCTAGACACATGTCACTCACTGTGCATTTATGTAGTTAGCAACATGGGTTTTTTGGAAGAGCAAACGTTCAGTTCAGTTCAGTTTAACAAGCACGAGTGAGTCTAGCCACTGGAAAGAAGCTGTTTGGCTAAATGTCTGAATACCTGTTGTTGGCATATCCTCAAAGGAAGAACCTTCCAGCAGTGTACACCAGCTTCCTCACTTCCTTACTGAGAATGTGACTGCAGGATCTGAAGCTCTTCATGTGATGTCTGAAGATAGTTAGATGGCTGTATTTGCAACATCTAACGTACCAAACACTGGGATACCTGTGTAAGCTTGTCAGAAATGGAGAGAAATATGCTGATGAAGCCCCACCTTTTCCTCAGCCTGAAGTCCTCTGAAGGCCTCAGCTATGTGTTTCTGGGGAGCTAGTTTTATTTTTTTAATTCAGGCACTTGCGTGGTACAATACATGTACATGTAGAATCACAGAATCATCGAATAGTTTGGTTGGAAAGGACCTTTACAGGTCATGTAGCCCAGCCCCCTTAAATGAACAGAGACATCTTCAACTAGATGATGTTGCTCAGAGCCCCATCCAACCTGACCTTGAATGTTTCCAGGGGTGGTGCATCTACCACCTCTCTGGGCAACTTGTTCCAGTGCTTCACCACCCCCATTGTAAAAATTGTTTTCCTTATCTCTAGTCTGAATCTCCCCTCTTTTAGTTTAAAACCATTACCCATTGTCCTATCGCAGCAGGCCCTGCTAAAAAGCTTGTCCTCGTCTTTCCTGTAGGCTCCCTTTAAGCACTGAAAGGCTGCAGCAAGGTCTCCCCAGAGCTTTCTTTTGTCCAGGCTGAACAACCCCAGCTCTCTCAGCCTGTCCTCATAGGAGAGGTGCTCCAGCCCTCTGATCATCTTCGTGACCCTCTTCTGGGCCCGCTCCAACAGGTCCATGTCCTTCCTGTGCTGTGGACTTCAGAGCTGGAGCTTCAGCTCTTCAGAGTTGTACTGTTCTCTTTTCCCTGAGGACAGTTTCCCAGGGTCTCCTATTGACTAAACTCCTTGAAGAGCTGGAATACTCCTTTTCTATAATTAAGGAAAGATTAGATACAAACTTACATGGTACATTACGTGTACCTTGTACATTAGGTAAAAACTAGTAGGTCACTTCTCTTTTCAAATACATCTGACAGGTTAGCTCTCACTCTCGGTTTTATGTAGGTATCACTGTTGCAGGCATTAGTGAAGCTTGCTCTAGGTCTCTAGAGTCCTTCTGCATCTACAGAGCTTTTCTGTAGAGTACTGAGGTGATTACAACCTTAGCAGTGCTTAAAAGAGTTAGATAAGAGTTTTGATCGATTGTCCCATTGCACCTAGGTCACTAAATTTTGCTGTGTCACTCTAGTGATAGCATTGCATCCATCCCACTATATCTGATTTGTTTGAGTTCCCTTCCTGTTTGCAGAAAGAATTCAGCACTTCTAGGGTTTGATTCATCTGAGCTATTTTTGACATTAGTTTAGGATTGTGTGAATCACAGCATAGACTATCAGCAGAGTGTTTATTTTCTCCATTGATTATACAGAGAGCCTAGGCTGACTAGTAAGAGGTAGGTGTTTGCATTTGTGAATCTCTACATTTTGCCAGATGAATCTACCTCCAAATCATTTTGTGTAGTGAAAGAGTCTAAATATAGGTTCCCATGATTAGAAATCACATCTTGTTTTTTCCCACTGTGCTTTCATCTAGTTTCCTAAGGTATACACCCCTACATTCTTACTCCCAATATTCTGACTCCTCTTTAACAATAAGTGATTATACTTTCTAAAACTTTCAAGCCTGAACTCACCTTGGCTTGTTTTAGTTATATAGTCAAAATGCCTGAAAGTTAAATGCCTGATTAGTTGATAGTTCAGGCACTGTGTAGAGAGCCTCTGGAGAGGGAAAGGCACTGTCTGAGGGACTGTCATAAGAGGGAATTATCATCAGGAGGTGTCATCTTGTCCTTCTTGAAAATATTTTAATCCTTACTTATGTACTTCAGTATCTACTGTTAAGGAGGACAAGTTCAGGCCCAGGTATAAGGATATTTACTGGATCCACAGCACTATTACCAAGGAACACGTACACAAGATTGTGTTATAATGTTTGTATTAGACTTACCTCCCACTTTAAGTTGCTCTGCATTCCATCACCTCAAAGCAATGATCTCAGGGGAAACTGAGCATTTAACTAAGCCTAATCTATGCATGTTTTCCTCCTTGTCAGAGCAATATGCAGGTGTCACCGTGAGAAACAATACAGAAGTCAAAAGGTGGCTTAAAGGAGGGCTTTGGGATGATGTTCTAAGATAAATTGTGCCAATTTTAAGACCAAGTCCATCGTGCAAATCATAAAGCAAGACAAGTTTGAATCACTGTATCAAGAGATCTGGAGGCTCAAACAGTTCTTCCCTAGTAGCATTCTGCAACTGGAGGCTAATAAAAGTTTCTGAGAAGTAGAGAGTGTGAACTCAAGCTCAATTTAATGGTAAAATACTTACACAGTTGCAAGCCTGTTGCCTGACCTGTCAATATGTGCTGGCTCTTGGTCTCCTTTGCAAAAGCTAAAGCAGGTGCCCTATTTTGAAACATTCATCACACTTACAGGTATTATAAACTGGAAAGTAATCAGAGCACCATGAAGGAAGGGATCATTATTTAAATAACTTCATTTTTCAATATATTGAGATACTTAGTAACTGGAACTACCAGTATATTTTTAAACTGATGGAGAAAATTGTTCATTCGTGCTAAAGGAGCAGAGGAGGAGAATGGCAACAGCATGACTCACAGTTCCTTTTCCCTTTCATCATGATTCTTATTTTCATTCTGCTTCTCTAAAGGACCATCTTTTTTTTTTTTTTATTCCTCCAAATGGTCAGATACAATGGCAGATATATAAAAACTTCTAGAACAGCTTGAGCTGTGAGATGAGATCTGATTCGTGTGGTTTTGTGGGAGGAACTAGGGATGCCTACTAGGTACCACTCATCTCTACTTTTCCTTTCTTTCATGGAAAAGTCTGTTTTCACACGAGAATGTTTTCAGAAGGCACAGAAGAGACAAAGGGAAATGAGCTAATTTGCAGCTATGTTTTTATGTAGCAACTTTTGATTTCGAGCTGGATTTAGTTTTCACAGCTGCCAGAAAGCTGCTTTCTCTCTGGTTTGTGATTGCTGTATTCTGTCTTTAACCTCTGAATTACAAATTTTGAAATAATTATATAGAAATCTGTAGCTAAGTTGTATATGTGCCTTTATGCACATATGTGAATTCATGCCTTGGAACACATTACAGGCATGATCTTACAGTGAAATCTTGGAAATCATAGATATTCAAAGCTATGTTGTAGTTTTGTACAGCAGGATGGAAGGATGAAGATCTCTCAGTGTAAGCCATGCAAATGACTGTTAACTCACTGCACTGTTCTGGCATTAGCAGAAGCCATGTTTACAAGTGTTTGTGTGATTACAATCTTCAGAACAGCAGGCAGGGGTACAGATTCACAAACTCTTCCTCATTCTTGAGCAACAATTTTCACTGGCATTCTACTGTACATAGATACACAGACCCAGCATGACTTCATTTCCCTAGAGAATTAATTTAATTCACGAATTACCACATATGCATAAGAGAAAGCAGGGCTGCAAGCAATATATTTGATGTGATAATACATTTACGACCAGATACTCCTCTGACTTATGCAGCTGGAATAATGTAGCAGGGCTGAACCTGAAGAGATCAGTGGAAAAATTTCACTGTGTGTCCTGTAGATAACATGGTTTATATAGGTAACAGGGTAATATAGGTAACAATGAAATAGGGTATTACTATAATGTGTAAAAAAAAAAAACCAGACTGGAAGATATAATATGAAAGCACATACATTGATTAAATATTTTTCTTTATCCCTAGGTGGTTGATCTGTTAGTGTCCATGTGTCGGTCTGCGTTAGAGTCACCTAGGAAAGTTGTCATTTTTGAGCCATATCCTTCTGTAGTTGATCCTAATGATCCTCAGATGCTGGCCTTTAACCCCAGGGTAAGTAGCTGTCTTTCATAAAGTCATAGCCTGGATTTAGTCATGCATGAGATTTCAAAGCAAAACCTTCTTCTGGAGGAGTCTCCTTTACTGTAAAGAGATACAACTCTAGAATAGAGCAAAAGCGTGTGACTATTTTCAGAACTTTCTAGCTTTTTTAATTCTTTCTAAGAAGGTACTTGAGTATAAACTAAGTTGCATTGAAAGTTATGTTGAACCAAGAAATTCTTTTAGGGTACAAATTCTAGATGCAAAATTTTATATTCTTAGTGTGTTTCTCTCAGTGTACACATTGGACACAAAAAGAAAGATAGCCTTTGGGAGGTGTAGACCATGTAAACTGGGGGATTTCCAGTCTATCTTTTTGTTCTTAGAATGGTTATTGCTATCATCTCATTTTCTCTTTGCAGGCAATTATGTCCTAAATGTAATTTTATCAAATGTTGACATAAGTACTGCCTCTCAGGGAAGCCCTCAAGAAGCTGTGAATTATTGCATCTCACTTGAGCCATCCCCAAGGGCATAAATAAGAATTTTGGATGTCCTGTACTGGGATGCATTTCACATTTTCTGAGCAAAGGCCAGTTAGCAGTGGCTATTCCTCAGGAAGGTGTGAGCACGTGGGAAGAAGGACTTGCCAGAAGGTGCATGGAAAGGGGCTGACAAGGAGACAGCTACTCTGATTTCTGGGCAAAGCAAGAGTTTGAAGCAGATGAGGGAATATGAAAGAGAGGGTCACAGAGAGCCCTTGGGCTGGCAGGGCCCACACCGCCTCCTCCCAGCTTCTTGCCAGCACAGGCAAAGTGAAAGGCCATGGGCAGAAGTTGTCAAGACCCAAAGATGGGGAACAGTGAAGCTCCTGAAAGTAATGTGACATGTGGAGCTGGTGAAGCATGGACAGTTAGGCCTGTCCACTCAGGAAAGGTAGAGCTATCTGATAGTGGTTTCCTAGCAGAAGATAGGCAAGGATCAGGGTAAGGCAGAGGGACAACTGAAGGACTTCTGACATTTTATAGAGCCGTTAGCAAAGTAAACACATCTGTTTAGCATTTTATTTAAAATCTATTTGGTCATGGCATTCTTTAACTTCATAGCATGCTGTCCAAATAATCGTCAGAATCTGTGTTTAGTTAAAAATAGTTCTTTAAAAAGTGAGATAATTTTTTGGGTTTGGGAGATTCCAATGAAATTTGAAGAAAAAACATAATTATAATATTGGGGGTGTGTGTGTGTGCGGAATTTCCTGGGCTATGAATAAGAGGGTCTATGTGTGAGATGGAAAGAGGGTATTGATAAGAAATGTTTCAAAGGACTGGTTACTGAACATTCATCCTAGCTTTGGTTTTATACACAAAAAATTCATGTTTTTATAGAGCCAAAGATTAATATTCCTTTAATTTATTTGCTTATCTTATTCAATATCAGAAGAAGAATTATGACCGAGTCATGAAGGCTTTGGACAGTATCACTTCTATTAGAGAGATGACACAGGTGAGTTTAAAAATCTTTACCTAACTTGATCACTATTTCTAGAACTAGGAAGATGTTTATATTGCTTGGCTGTGGTGGATGGAGAAGTCAATAGTATGATTTCTTTCCTATAGAGTTGTAATAATATTAAAATATGTGTAAAAAATAACAAACCTAGCGTATCTATAACATCAGTCAAATAAAAGTGATGAAGTATAACTCAGATCTTTTGGAGTTTAAATAAGAGATAACAGCAGAATAGGACATTTTAACTCAATAATCACCAACTGCTGCATTCCTGGAAATATCGAAGCCAAACTGGGCCTTTCATTTCCAAAGCAAAAGAAATTGATTTTGTGACAGGGCTCTGAATGACAGCTTTATTTGTATTACAGCAAAGCACTTGATCAGCTAAGTACAGTTGGGGGTGTGGAAGGTCGGGTCTCTTGGGATTCCTACCATGTAATTTCTCAATATTCACAGTGGGACAAAATCTGATCACAATACTTATGATTATTGTTACACTTTATTTCCCAAAAAAGCCCAGCTGATTAAAACTGACTATTGAAATCTCTCCCATGTACCTTGCTTTTCCAACTGCTATACAAATGTAACATCACAACAGTTTATAAATCTTACTCTGTATGTATTCGTAAAATACTATGAGATTCTGGAACGAAGAATGAGGTGTATAGAGAGGAGTAAAATAAACTGAAAATTAAAATTAATGTGTTTTTCTTACTTAGTGTAATATCTTGTAAAAATTTAAAAAATCAAGTATTTCTCTTACCTGATATAATATATTTTAATAGAAAAGAAAAACTGGCACCATTTTGCCTTTTTTAATATTAAAATAATTCTTGGACTGAAGAGTTTTAAAGGGGTGCTTTGCACTGAGATTGAAATCAGGAAAGGTTTTCAAGGGGATTGTAAACAGATACAGTATTTTACTTTACCAGTTTATACAATGAAGCAGTTAAAAAAAGTGGAGTGGATTATTTTGGGGTATTTTGAATGACTTAATTTTGTGAATTTCCAGTCCAATTTCTTAATCCAAGAGCTGAACATAAATAGATATCTTTTGCTGTTCTCCCTGAGATCACTAATGTTTGCTATAGTGTACTAATTTTGATGCTAATTATATGCTTATTATTTTACTCTGGGGAAAATAATTGCTATATTAATTATTGTTGTTGTCAAAACACATTTATAACCGTACAACACTAAATGTCAGTAAAACTGTGATTTAAGCCAATAATGAGTCCCATGAATTTGTTTTAATAGATGAAATCATGGGCAATGTAACATATAAAATTTAACCTTATGATTTTAACTAGAAATAACATAATTACTCTCTTCTAGGCACCTTACTTGGAAATAAAGAAGCAGATGGATAAACAAGACCCGCTTGCACATCCTCTTCTACAATGGTACATCACACATCACATAAGATGATAATTATTATCAAGTTTAATGAATAATCATTTCACCAGTGTAATTTCTTATAAGCTCACCCTTAAGAATTAACATCAGGGTTGGCATTTGCAACTGCAGGTGTTTCTGGACTTTTCTGGACCTCATCTGGGCCCTCTGAAAACACTGAAAAGACTCCAGCCTATTTGTACAGCTTCTGATCAAATTTCTAGTCACAATTTGGTCTACTTCATACGATGGGTTCAAAGGCCTGCAGCTGGGTGCTTTGTGGTGGCCACTCATAACACGTTTTTAAGAAGAAAAGTTCTGTTTGGTTACCATGTCTAATACATCTAACTGTTTCTTATTTTAGGGTTATTTCTAGTAATAGATCACATATTGTGAAGCTACCAGTGAATAGGGTAAGTGTCGGTGGGTTCTTTATTATTTTCTCATTTCTCGTGGATCATATTAGCATTTTAGGTGGGAGTCTCCTAGCTAAGTGTAGGTGTCTACATTCAGACTAATCACATGGACTCCATTAATAGACAAGGGACAGAAATAGGCAGTTTCAGGTAATGATTCATAGAATCATGTTGTGAGTATCTAAAATAAGTCAAAGGAATAATGCTCATAAAGAGCCTATTTGAGGTGAGTAGATCAAATACAAGTGTCTACCTTGGAGTCATCTGAGATTGGGTGAGAATAACTTCACTATTCTTCACTACTATTATAGAACAGTAGATACAGAATTGTACAGAAAGCAGTACACACAAACACGATGTACGAGGAGATCCACTTATGAGCACACCTTAAAAACCATATGGCTCTTGAATTTTAGACGGATTAAGATTAATTCCTGTGTATATGTGCCTCTGATCCTCTGATTAAGGACATGGTTATTTGCAACCTTTCAAATCTGAACCTGAATTCAAAGCCAGCTCTGATCAGAATACCATGATGAAATTGTTCAATGTAATTACTTTAGTACAGCCATATTAGGCTGAAATTTGTTTCAGAAACTTCCATGTGTTTCGTAAACTGAAAGGCATTTTTACTGTTTGATTACATGTAAAAATAGTGGTAATGAGACCAATTTCAACTTAGTTCATGTAGTTATTTAAATGTAGTCCTGTATTGTGCGAAACAGCACGGTATCTTTAGAACTACTAGTATGGAAATACAATGCTTTTGTCTTAATCAACTTCTTTTCACTTGTGCACTGTTTTATTTTACAGCAACTAAAGTTTATGCACACTCCCCACCAGTTCCTGCTTCTCAGCAGTCCACCAGCCAAAGAATCCAATTTCCGAGCTGCTAAAAATCTCTACGGAAGTACCTTTGCATTTCAGTAAGTACATATATTTGTATTAATCAAAGGTTATCAAAATGCCATGATATTTTTTTTTGTTCTTGCCATTTGAGGTTTACAGCTGTGAATTTACTGTTTTAAAGGATTACTGATTTCGTTTTGCATTTTACCCAGTGGATTTTAACACTTTCCGTTTCATTTTTTCAGTGGTTCACACATTGAAAATTGGCATTCCATCCTGAGGAACGGCTTAGTTGTTGCTTCCAATACGAGGCTGCAGGTAAGTAGTGGACTAACTAGACTTTAGCTAGCCTGTGTGTGCTTGACTGCATACTAGTTTAGGCAAGTTTTCAGGTGGTCATATAGGTGGAAAAAAAAAGGATGATTTCAAATACCATCTTGTTTTCTGGAAAAAGTACTTTTCTGATGCAATGAAAAGGAAATAATGTGTCTGCTAAAATGGCTAGAAAATCCCATTGCTGGAGTCGGTGTTCCAATTTTACATTGCAGAGCTGCACCTCCAGGAGGCTTAGCTCAGTACTGCTTAAAAGCAGTTTTGGGATTAAAATTTGGACCTACATAATCTCCATATTAGAGGATCCAAGAGCATACTAGATTTACAGGAACTGTGTTTACAGCATCTTCTCTTCTCCTCTGGTTTCCTTGAGAATGGAAATATGAGTGTACTGGCCAGGAGGGAGCTATTGCAAACTTCAGTTCATTTTCTCAGACTGAATGATCAGGAGACCACAGTTGCAGAGCAAAGTAGGCAGTACCAGTGGCACTGGGGAGCTGTAACTCAGAGTATTTTGGCATCAGGTTTTGACAGCTCTTCCCCAGAGCCAAGTCCATGATACCTTGGAGGAGGATCCCAGGGTACAGAAGACACTGAAAAAAAAGGGAAATGGAAGTCTCTGCTGTTCCTCTTAATGGTTTGGGTGTTTTTATTAGTATCTTTGGAAGATACTTCCCCAAGAAAACAGGATTTATCTACGAAAATTCACCAAAGTAAACCCCTTTGTTTATGCTTATTTTTTTGTTGAGGGTTGAAATACTGGGAATAGGAGGAAGCAGTAAAGCCCTGTTGTATACAAGTCATCTTTTTAGATCTCTCATACACCTAAGGCATATCCTGAGCCCAGTTCATCCTATTTACCTTAGTACCAACCAGTCAGGAAAAATATGTACTCACCAAGAATCATAGAGAACATTGTAGGATCTGGAGGAGTGAAAGCATGTTTGCACATTCCTATGAGAGCTCTGGCATATTGCAGAGACAATGTAAATATCATTGAGTCAGAGAAAAGAAGTAAGGGTGAGCATGAGTCTGAAGCCCAGTGGTCATAACATCTACCCTAGGTAGGAGATACTCTGGGTTCTTACTTGTGCTGCAACAACAGCTTGGTGTGTTTTCTGTAAAAGCTTTTCCACATAAAGTAGTCGCTCCCTGGTGGAGAAGCAAAAGCAATACTTCCCCCTTTCCAGTCAACAAAACGACCACAGGGCTAATAAAAAGTGCTCACTTTTGTTGCTTAGTCCAAGCTTGATGGCATGGAACAGTGACGTTGGTGAAGAAGAGTCTTCCCTTTCCTCTGTTCTTTTCAGGCATCTGGTAGCTTTGTGGCTAAAGCTCAGTCCTGCAGTGATGGAATATGCATGTCTGAATTGGCTCAGGCAAAAACTGGGTTGTAAACCACTCCTCCAGTACTCAGGCTGAGCTAGCAACGAAATTTTTCTTCAGCATATGACCAGTGTCATCACCTTCTCTTCATTTCTTACCTTAAAGAAAATAAAAGCAGCTGTTGATTCACAGAGGTTGGCTTGGGCTGTGCTTCCTGCCAAAGTTTTGATGTGAGACACATTCTGAACCTGCTCAGCCATGCTAAGGCTGAGGTGTATTTGGCCATGTACAGAAGCACCCTCTTTAGGTTTTAGATTTAAAAACAGAAAACGCAATTTTATATATAAATGTGATGTAAAATTATGTTTTGGCAATTGGGCATGGTTTCCAGAACATACAGTATCTTAGTTGTATATTCACAGCATGATTTTCTTAAAGACTTCTTGGAATACTATTTATTACCAGGCAATAAATTAATGCAGTGGGGCAGATGTTTATCTACATTATGACCTGTTCCTATCATTATTGTTTTGTCCAGACAACCAAATTAATGTTAAACAATCACTCTGCTCTTTTTCAGCTCCATGGTGCAATGTTTGGAAGTGGAATCTACCTTAGTCCATTGTCAAGCATATCATTTGGTTACTCAGGTGATATTTATAAATCACTCTAAAGTTGGAGAAGTATACAGGGGTATCTTAGTTTACTGCTTTTCTTGCCAGCTTCACTGTTTACAACACTATATTAAATTTAATCTTTGTCGACCAAGATTTAATTTATTCAAAAAAGAGAAAAAACTAAGTTCCCTTATTGAATACCTGTCCTCATTTTCCAAGGTGCTGAGTATCTCGAAACTGTGCCTGAAGTAAATAGTAACTAATACTGGATGTTGTGTGTAATGGAGCAGGTCTTGATAATGCAGTGGAAATCCAACTTTATGTTTGTGATTTTTAGTCAGTATCTGCCTAAGTCCGTTGAACATTATCTATGGATTCATGGGCTCTTACGACCTATCAAAATAAATACTCATCAATAGACATGTTCAACTGTGTGTATTTGAGACTATTACCAAGTATCAGCATGTCAGGATTACATAGAATGTACAGGACAGTGTGTTTATTTTAGCATGAGAACAGGAGAGAACACAGTTTGTGGCACTAGTAAATCAAAAAGTGATTCATGCAGATTTCTCCATATAAGAATTGTCATAAATAGAAGCATAATGGAAACAAGATATACCAACATGTACATTAAGAAACTTAAGAGTAAAATGTGACTTTTTTCTTTAGTTATGTTGTATTTAGTATTTCCCCAGATATAAAAGCTCAGCATTTCTTACTACTATTTATTGAATTTCAATATCAATGATCTCTACATGCACTTTTAGCTTTTCAGAGATTACACGAGTAGGGAAGCTTTTCAGGACTCAGTAAAAGTGAATGTTGCAGTATCATTATCTAACAAAATGTCCTTCTTTTTGGACAATGCTGCTTTGTCAATTTCAGTCTGTTTTTTCTCATCTCTCTAACTTTCTTGGTCCCTTCCATCCAGTCTCCTCTAGAAAGGAGGCCTGTGTTCCTTTGAAGTATGTAATACCTGATGCCAGTAAAAGCCACAGAGGAGTCCTATGCCCCCTGTTCCTTCAGAGAGTTAAACTTCCCCATAATTCAGGCTGTGTTTGTGAACTGCCAAGAAATAGGAAATACTGGAAATACAAGGATGCCTGTAGTAGCACACAATACGGGAAATTTTTGTAAACCAACATGAGGAATATAAGAGAAATCTGAGGCACAAATGTAGGTGTTTAGATTTTTGAGATGGAATTGGATATAACATGGCTGACATAATTTAATACTGTTACACATAGGTGAATTAATTAAACCAAGGTAGACTTTAAAACTTTAAATAAACTACTCTGAAGAATTAATTAGACTTTTAATAAGTCTAAATGAAGTGTTAAAGATTAATATCTAGAATTCTTTCTCTCTTGATGTTACTGTCCCACCCACAGTAAATCAGACTGTGTTACTTCAGCCTGAATAGGGTCACTTAGACTCAAGACATGATGACATGCAACCCTGTAAGCAACCACCTAAGAGCATTCCTGGGCTGAATTCAGTGGCATTTAAGCTTATATTTATCTGCTTTTGGATGTACTTAATGCTAAGTTAACTTTCCTAAGGTCTTTGAAATACATGCAGATGTACTGGTCACTTGCAGGAGTAAATCAAGATACTCTATGACAAAGTTAGCTGGCTTTTTGAGTGCCATGCAAAGGACTGTGATTCCCACTGTGCTACGTGTTTCATTCTCCATACTTAACTTTGCTTACTGTGTTCTTTAGATGCCAGTGGATCTTACCTGATTTTTGATATTCCTAGGGATGAATAAGAAGCAGCAGAAGGTGTCAGCTAAAGATGAACCAGCTTCAGGCAGTAAGAGCAGTAATACATCACAGGTACAGTACATCAACCATCTCTGGAAGATTTATGGTTTTATGTTTGGGAACTTGATCACTGAAAAGGAGGTAGTCTTCCCTTTGTGAAAGCTAACAGTTTTATTTTATTGAACAAAATCAGCAGAGACCGCAAACATCAAATACAGCCCAACTGCTTTTAGTAGCAATTTACGGACTATACTGCAGGTGTCGTGCCCTTCTTTTCCAAGCAGAATTTATGAAGAGAATGAAAATTAAATACAGGTTGCATTATGACTCTTAGGAATCCCTTGCTTTCTGAGATCTAGACCTAGAGTAATGATACAGAAGGAATTGAGTGTGGTTAATGCTGGCAACTGAGTAGCATTTCATATGTAGCAAGTCAGGTTTTTTCTTTCGTGTTCTTTTACATATTAAACCATTACAATTTTACGCATTAAGTCATTACAATTCTGCTTTGTCTAAAGCAATCACATAGCATTTCTCTGGACAGCTAAATTTTGAGAAATCTTACATCTATCTCCATAGTTAACAAATAGAAACTACAGAATAATCTGGTTTTGGAGACAAACTGGTATGTAACAGCAGAAACTGTCAGAAATGGGAAGGCCAGTAAAATATCAGGGTAGTGGCCGAAGAATTGGTGATCACATTCATGTGTTGATTTTTTGTCTACTATCAATTTGGGGTTTGGTAACACTGATATTTCTAATGATACTATTCATTCTGTAATAATTAGGAACATTCTTTCTGGATCAAGGAGTTCAAATCCCTCCCGCAATAATCCAAAGAAGTAATATAAATTTTTTTAGAATTTCTATTAAATTTAGAAATACAAAATAAATGTTTTGGAAAGACTGCCTCTATCTTTGTTTACTAATAAACCACTGAAAATAGCAGCCCTTTCCTTTGTTACTTTTTCACTCAGTTTGTCTTACTGCACTAATTAAGTTTTCTCATGTTTTTACATCTCAGTCACAGAAGAAAGGACAACAGTCACAATTTTTGCAAAGCCGTAACTTAAAATGCATAGCCTTATGTGAAGGTAAGCTGAAAGCCCTTGAAAAACTGTTTTAGTCATAGACACAGTGTTACTGGATGCAAATCAGTGGGACCTTTAATTCCAGTGTTTGTTGCTTTTAGGTAAGAGGCTACTGGTAGATGTACAAGTACTTGCTTTACATCTGACCTTTATATTTCAGTTCAGAACATTTCCCTTGTCAAACAAAACCAATATCACAAGCTGAACTTTTATGAAATAATCATATGCACATAGTGAACGATCATCTTGTCTGTCTTTCAAATGTGATTGTATCCCTAAGCCATCAAGATAACCTTTATTTGAAAATGTCCTTTATTTGAAACACTGTTTTCTTGCAAAAAGGCATTAAACACCTAAAAGTCAGAAAAAACAGCTTTCCTGTTGAATTTCCAAATAATATTTCACTGTTCAGGAAAGTATACTGTTCATCTGGTAACCAGTCTGTTCTCTCTGGCTGCTTCAGAAATTTTATAATGTTGATATCCAGTGCATATGAATAAAGTCATTCTTGAAAGAATATATAATATTTTAATAATATTTTAATATTTTAATAATTTTAATATTTTAATAATATTTATAATATTTTAATAACTAATGAAACATTAGCAAGGTTTGAGACCAAAGAATTATGAAATTTGTGTAAGAATTGTACCAGAAATTGGTAATTAGTCTCGCTGTCCAAACAAAAAGAAATTATATTAACCTCAGTTTTTCCTTCCTTTGGAGCATTTGTTTATTTTTAAAAGTAAAAATTAAGACAGACAGTAGAAAAGATGTTCAAAATGGCAGCTTTAAGCTATAGATACTACTTTTTAATATATATATATATTTGAAACTGTTCAAATGAAATATTTCATGTGCTTAAGGAGATGCCAATGAACATGAAAATGCAATTTGATTTGGACACAAATCATACAAATTTAGTTCTAAAACTTCCAGAAGATATGAAATGAATGTAGGGTTTACTAGAATTTACTTGGCCTTTAATGCCAAAAGTTTCTAAATAAAACATCTTTCGCAGGACTTCTTCATCCATGTCATACTTTCCTCACATTTATTAATGGATTATTGATTTTGTAAGGGTGAATGTAAAATATTTGGTAAAATATATTTTACTTCATGTTAACTTCATTTTTCTGTGAAAGTACGTGATTAGGGGAGAAGATTAATGTAGATTTTAAATAAAATTATTTACAAGATATATTTTTTTAAAATTACAACTAATGGAAGAAATGGTGTGAAAATTGAATAAGCATTTATTCATGCTAGTGATTAGAATAGAATAGAATAGAATAGAATAGAATAGAATAGAATAGAATAGAATAGAATAGAATAGAATTGGCTCTTTCAGTTGGAAGAGATGTAGAACCATCATCTGGTCCAAATGCCTGACCAATTCAGGGCTGACAAAAGGTTAAAGCACGTTGTTAATGGCATTGTCCAAATACCTCTTAAACACTGACAGGGTTGGGGCGTCGATCACCTCTCTAGGAAGCCTGTTTCAGTGTTTGACCACCCTCTCGGTAAAGAAATGCTTCCTAATGTTCAGTCTAAACCTTCCCTGGTGTGGCTTTGAACAATTCCCACACGTTCTGTCACTGGATCCCATGTTCTCCAACCTAGACTAAGCCAAAGTCCTCAGCTGCTCCTGATAGGACACTCCTTCCAGCCCTTTCACCAGCTTTGTTTTCCTCCTCTGGATGTCTTCAGGGACCTTCACTTCCTTCCTAAATTGTGGGAACCAGAACCGGGCTGGTTGTCAGTCTAGTTCGATGAGTTGATAAGTTTGATGAGTCAGGCCTTCGATGTGAGGGCGCACCAATGCTGAATACAGGGGGAAGATCCCCTCTTTTGAGCGGCCTGTTTTGCTGTGTTTGATGCACGCCTGGATGCAGTTTGCCCTCTTGGCTGCCAGGGCTCACTGCTGACTTGTATTGAGCCTGCTCTTGAGCAGCCCTCCCAGATCCCTGCAGGGCTGCTCTCCAGCCCCTCCTCTCCCAGTTTACAGTTGTGCCCGGCATTACTGCATCCCAGGTCCAGAATCCCGCATTTTGACTTGTTAAATTTCATCCCATTAATCACAGCCCAATGCTGCGGTCTGCCTAGATGCTTCCGCAAGGCCTCCTGTCTCCCCAGGAGAGTCACCAGCACCTCCCAGTTTGGTATCATCAGCAGACTTGCTAATGGTGCATTCAGCTCCTGCCTCCAGACCGTTGAGAAGAAAATGCACTGGGCAGAACTGGCCCTCGAATTGAGCCCTGGAGCCCTGAGGAGTGTTGCCAGTTCTTCACCCAGCACCCTGTGAACCTGCTCATCCTACAGCTGGACAACTGGTCCAGAAGGATGCTGTTTAAATGCATTTGTAGAAATCTTATCAAATACAGACTGCTGGTATAGCTTCAACCTAGCAATGAAAAGTTTTTTTTCCTGCGTTGTCCTCATTCTACTGGTAAACAACCTACCATCAGATACATTGCTGTTTTCTAAACATTGAACAAGTTTTGGCAAGCTTCATGATCCCCTTGAGTCATAATTGCTATGCTTAATTTTTTAAAATATTTGGTAGTATTGCAAATCCTAAATTTGTCATATCTCAGGGTCAGACTTCGTCTTTAACATCTTGTTTGTTTTGACTCAGCCAGTATAAAACACAAATATCTCTGTTCCAAAGGCTGATTAATTGAATCAGATCCTCCTTAACAGCCGTATTGCCATTTGAAATCAGTTTTTAATAAATATACTTTTTAATTTTTCATTCCAATTAACAGCTGGCTCCCATACGTCAGCATCTATGTTTTCTGGAAAATATAAATTATTTTGGAAACAAGAGTCAAATTCATCTCCCTGTTTGTACTAGCAGCCAACTCAGCCTACACCACACCACAGACATGCAGTGGAAAACTACACATTCCCAGAAGGCTGTTTAAAGTGTGTAAAAAGAAAAATATTTTAAAACGTTATTTTCCAGGCTTGATTTCATCACTATGAAACTTATTCTTTCCCTGATAGTGATAACCTCATCCGATCTGCACAAACATGGAGAGATATGGGTAGTTCCCAATACAGATCACGTGTGTACAAGATTTTTCTTTGTGTGAGTATGAATCTTCTCTTACCATTCAACTTCTGTTCACCCTAGGTCTTTTTCCCCATGTTCCCTCCAATAGTTGAAATTGAAGTAGATAATTGATGTTTCTTCCTAATTCTTTTCAGTATCACTTCATTTTTAATCTTTCTCTGTACTTACTTTTGTTAGGAAATGTACGGATAAGCAAGCGATAAAGGTTTAGTAGATGTTTTGTTACAGGATAAATTAATGGAGAGTTACTGATTTTTCTCACCCTATAGCATTGCCTCATGTTACAGTAAGTCTACCCATGTACCATAAAATACAATTTCTATTTGGCAGTATGTTTTAAAGCTGAGGAATTCACCGAAGGCTTCCTGTCTATGATGTGAGCATTTCCTCTCTCACCTAAGACTTGTCCCCTTTGGGTCCTAGCAGCTTATTCCACCTCGGGGTTTCAGTGACAATGGCAGCCTTCACTCCCTGGAGTTTAGGATCTGCACAAAATGGTGAAGTGCAGCAGAGCATTTTAATAGAGACATGTTAACATATGGAATAAGTGCTCTTGATTATTGAATGAATCAGAGTTTTGGATGTTTTCAGGTAGATTAATAAAGCACTAATTTGGTCTTATTTTCTGTACTTTTTTTTAGTTATGAAGATGGTCAAGTGGGTGATACAAGTATAAATACACAGGAACCAAGCATTCATAAAGAGATTCTTCGAGTCATTGGCAATCAAACTGCTACTGGTTAAAAGGACCACTCTTATTTAATTGATGTGATTTGGGAGCCTTCCTCAGTCTCAAAGCTGGATTTTGAACTGAAGAAGATGCAAAAAACTAATTTATTATTATTATTCTAAACAAATTAACCCTTTGAATACTTACTGTTTTCTTACTTAGTATTTCTTATCTCATCAAAATACCTGAGATGGTATGAATTAGCAACTGTAGGGGTGCAAAGTCTATTAATATATTACAACTAATAATAATTAAACAGGCATTTGGGTTGCTCACAATAAACAGACTTTAAAAGGAGTTTTGTCCTGATATTTTTATATTAAACTTCAATTGGAGGTTTTAGTACTGTATACTGGTATTTTAAATTTAGAATGACTGAATTGTAGGCAAGAGAGAAGATTTTATAGCAGAGCACCTGTATTATGCAGGATACTTTGCAATAAGTAAAATATTCTCTCATTTAAACACAAAAAAGGTTGTCTGGAACATGTTAAATTCAAGAGATTGGTTACCTGCAGCTATCTTTGATTCATTTTATTTTACACAAGTGCAGCTAGGATAAGAGTCAAAGGTTAAAACAAAAATACAAATTTTATTTAATGAGTGAAACAAAGCAAAAAGTAATGAATGTGATGATGTATATTTAGTTTTCTTTATCTTCTCTGGAAACACTGTATTATCCATTAAGCAACTTAGCTGCATTTTTTAATTATGCAAGCCTAGCAAGCATCTAGAAATCCTGAATCTGTTAACTTCCTTTTTAAAAATTTGGGGGTTATATACTAGATTTTACAGTTTCTTTAGATCAACAAGGTTCCTTAATGTTTTTACCTTAGCTTCAGTGAAACTGCTCTGTAGTTAAATCTAGCCACGTAAAAGTACGTGCTGAATTAAGGCTTTTACATGATTGAGTCAATTGTTGGTACATCAGAAAATACAAACAAATGCAAAATTTTACTGATTTTCTCTTGGTGAAATATTTTTATTAATTTATTCCTAAGGGAAAACAAACCAATGCAAATCTCTCTCTCCCTTAAATTAATAACTTTTTTTTTTTTCCAAGTGAGCATGATGGCAACACAGGTAGGGAGGAGCCCAGTCTCCAAAGCGTAAAGCATTTCCTGTGCCCCAATGAGTGCCCTTGGTGGCCCTCATGGTGGCTGTCCTGAGGCATCAATCACATCCTTGAATATGGTGAGCAGTGCAACTTACCCATCTGTGCGACTATTACAGGCCACCTCAGAAAGCAAAAAATAGACCGAATACTCTATTATGTTATTTTCATAATATACTGAAGCGCCAAATACCAGCATAACAAAGCACAGAAGTGTTTGCTTCTTTTAAACAGATATGCCGTAATGGGTGATTCCTTCTTTCTAGTTCAAGCTACACTCCCTTATTACTTGCTGCAACTGAAGTGCCCTACGAGTCAAATAGTGTTATTGGGCCTAGCAGCACATACTTGGAGATGTATTTTAGCATTCCAGAATTATTTGCTGGGGACTTCAGTTTTTGTGGGTTCACATCCAGACTTGTAAAGCCAATCCTGTTTGCAAATCGATGTTTTGCTATTGAATTTCTGTTGAATTTCACCCCCATATGGTGGACCCCTAACTTAAGAATCACTACTCTAATTGTTATCTTTTGTGTTGGGACACAGGTTAACTTCTTGAAACAAAGAGGATTCCTGAAATTTGTCTATCTATGTAAGGACTGCCTTACGTTGTGCAACTGCACAAAATCAGCATAATTCAGAAGTGGAGCTGAAACCCTGGTATGACCATCTCTATATAATTTTTCCTGCAATATGTGTCTCGATCACTATGTTTTGCATAACAAAAAGAAATTGGGAAGCAAGTCCACTAAGATACCCTGCGGTGACTTGCTGGGCTAATAGTCCACCACTCTGGGAAGCCTCCTCAAAAAACTAGGAGAAGAGAAAGATGACCACGAGTGAACTGGAGAAGCCAAGTAAGCGGTCATCTTCCCTGTCCCTTGAAGCTTGCAGCAGGGTCACAAGTGAACCTCTTGAAGGAGGAAACCTGGAATCTAGCTATGGCAGCGAGTCAGCCTTGGTTTGCATGGTGGGGTCATGATACTGGCCACGCATGGTGCCATCGTAAGTACAACGACCTGGAAGGGAAAAATACATCTCTGCCAAATTTTAAGGATGCTCGGAGGTTTGTTCTTAATGGGGGAGCAGGAGGAAGGGGCAGTTTGGAGGAAAGCAGGGCTCTGAGGTGTATGGGGGCCTTGCTGTTGTAAGGTGCCCACTTCAGGGAGTACTGAAGTGACTGTCTTACAGGGGAGAAGGAGGATGGCTAAGAGTAAGAGGCAGAATGTGACGTGCACAGGCATTAGAAAGCGGTGGGAGAGATCAAAACCTTTTAGGGAGAAAGGTAGTTCTGAACAGACAAGTTATTTCTGGTAGGAAAGAAAAAAAGAAGAAAAAGAAAAAAAAGAGGAGCTACAGAATTGCTAACAAGCAGCATGGCAGGAGAAGGGACTGGATAAACAAAGCTGCAATGTGGGGAAACACAGCCTGTGGAAGTATGGGGCTGTGCTGTGCCCAGGCAGCTGGGCCACCCAGGAAGGGATCACACTGTAAGGGACAGTGCAAGGACACGAGCCCACTGTCACACACAAACAGCAATTGAATTAAACGAAAATTCACTTGCTACACAGTAACTCGATCACTATTTTCTTTAGCCAGTATGTTAACAAGAAACTTCTTCTGAGATGTTATCCACAGGTAAACGTGAGTCTTCAGATCATTTAGCAAAGTACTAGTTCTCATAATTTTTAAAAAAATGAGGGAAAGGAGGGAAGTTTCTGGGGGGTCTGTTACTCAAAAATAAATAGCCCTTCTATAGCAAACTTCACACCTGAAACAATGACTTCATCACCAAGAACTGGAATGAAAAAGTTTGAGGATGAGATTTTCTCCGAAGGATTTTCCCTTGTGGTTTTACCCAAGGGTGAAAGTTGCATAATGCCAAATTCTTCCAAATACTTAAATTCACATGGATTCCAGGGGATGAAAAATAAATAGCCAGGCACATCTGATCAAGGACCCTGTGTTATCCCCAGAGCCCTTGCATTTCCTTTCCTCTGTTATCAGAGGTATTGGTAATAGAGTGATCTTTGTGACTCCCATTGTAAGGATGTAGGCTTTTTGCAGGTAGCTTTTAGTAAAAGGAGGTTGAGCCCCAGGCTGTACTATCTCTCCTGCTAGAAATGTCCATGAAGTCATACCATCTAGCTGTGACCATGTCCAGCAAGGAGCAACCGAGGAATTCTTGAGGAAGAACTTTCTAACTTCTTCCTACATCCCACAAAAAATTACAACCCCTCAAATGGGGAAGGTTTGACAGGAAAATTATGTTAATAGCTTAATGTTGCACCCTAATTATGAATTGCTATATTTATACTTCTGAATATTTTAAACATTGAGAAAGCAACCCAAAAAGATGCTTTTAAAGCTTTCTTGAGATTCAGGCAGATATCTAGCATTCAAGGGGTTAAGCAATTTGAGTTATCTTCTGTGATACAAATCAGTATAGACCTGTTTTCTTCAGCAGTGCTACACTGTTTTGAAAACCTGAGTCTTTGGCTCTGTATTACTTATCATAAAATGGCCGGTTTGTGTAATATTGTGCTTAATCTTTTACAGGAACTAGCTGATGACACCGGAATTGTTTATGCTTATATTTTTCCTCTAAAGCCCTTGAAAAACTATTACTGATGCTGTATAATTTTAATATTGTAGCTGTTGGTACTAGAAATTCATCAGATGAATAATGCTAAGATTATGCTTTTGTTAATACAAGTGCAAGATCACTTCAAATGAAGACTTTGTGCTTAGATCAATTATACTTTGCTTATAAACCACTTACTACTGTGAAAGCAATTAGCGTACTTCCAACATGGATGAGTAATGAGTACAAAGTGGGAAAAAAAAAAAAAAAAAAAAGGGGCAAAAAAAAAAAAAGAAAAAGGGGCAACTGAATGAAGAGATTCATGATTTTAAAAGAAACACTTAAAAAAAAAAAAAAACCAAAAAAAAAAGCTAAACAAATGTAAGAACAGTATGTAGTTATTTGAGTATTGTATTGATTTAGATGGATTTTTTCCTTGGCTCTAGGAAACCTAAGTCAGACACAGAGACTATGAGCCATGACTGACCGGGAGGTAACGCTACGGGAGCAAAAGCACCCTACTGTAATCTTAGCATTTTCACAACAGATAGGTTGGGGGCCCGCTCCCGCCTCGTGCCGAGCACCCCTGGGAGGCGGCCCCTTGAACCAGACGTAGGTGGTTTTTTGTGCTGGTCGCTCCTCGCTCTCCTGGTAAGTTTCTCAGAGGCCGCCGGGGCCAAGGCCGGCAGCCATGGGGTCAGCGTGCCCCCAGGGCTGGGTGGGAGCTGGGCAGGACTTGGCTGCCCCCGTGATGGCGGGACGGCAGCCATGGCGGTGGGGCGGCAGGGGAAAGAGGGGCAGCCGTGGCCCAGCTTGGCCACACACAGCCCCTCCGCCGGTGCTGGCAACGTGGCGGCAGCCCCGCCGCCCTGGCCAGGCATCCTTTTGCCTCTGAGGGGGCACGCAGGGCCCGGCCGCCCTGGTTTTTGCAAAACTGAGGCGTTAACCTGGTGTCCTGCGCAATTTCTTCGCTACAAACGCTACCTCAAGGTGAAGGACGAGCCTGTTGACTACACGGAGCTGGGCCTGTTCGGAGAGCGATTAAGATAACGTGTAGCGCGGAAAGTCGTTCGGGAAGGATCTTGAGTCTAGTCAGCCAGGACTGTGTTAATAATCAAATTAATTGCTTAAAGCGCTCAGGAGTGCATGGACACTTGTGCTTCAGAAGGGGATAAATATACAAATGGGGAGATTTACTCAAAGCAGAGCGGCGTTGTGCGGGCGCGGTGCGGTGCGGGAGGCGGGAGGATGCCGCCGGGGGTTTGAATTCCCTGGTGTGGGGTCTGGAAGCGCTGAGCTCCTCTGTCCCTCACCGGGGTGGGGGTCCCGTTCCCCCGGCTGGAGCAGCGGCCACCGGCAGGAGCCGAGGGGGGAGCACCCACCACCTCCATCCAGCCACGCGTTGGTGGCACGCGCCTGCTGAGTTCCAGTCCGCCGCACAACAGCTAACGATGTAAATTACTACCCATTTCACTTCGCATTGGGGATTTCTGTACATAGTAGGTATAAGACTTTTGTAAGGAAAAAAACAAAAACAAACCAGTCAAGTAGTTTTTAGGTAAACATATCTAGCGTGTGAAAAACCTGTTACAGAATAGATTACATTAAACATTTACCAGCAAGTCAGTAAAAATAGTCCTTATACACAGACGTTCAATATAATTTAATGTTCTAAAAATAATTTTTTAATTTACCCAGTATGTATTGTATCTTTGAATTTTAAGAAGCAGCCACTCCTTTATGTAAACATAAAATATGCGTATGTTTCTGTTAACTCTACAGCCTTTTTTTCTCCAAATAAATTTATTAAATTCTGTGCACAAAATAGTACTGCAGCCTGCTATTTAGCCTATGGTGCCTTAGAGTTACTACAAATATTTAACAAAATGTACATAATGTAAATACTGCCAGAAGATCACTAAGGCCAAATATTTTCTCTATTCACTTTTTACTGCACTTGCTTTCTATTGCTATTTAAGCCTCTTTTATCCAGCTTTGTAACAGTTACAACATTGTAGCCAATGTAAACGTTTACTTTCAATAAATCAGAATTTGTTCAACAAGTACTGTGCATTTGGGCACTATTTTGAGAACTCTGTTCAAAGTTAAAACAGTCATCTAAGAATTAAACCGAATCTGAAGGAGTTCCTTGAATTTCACTAATCTTGATGACATCTAAAGGTTATGCCACGCTTTTACACATATTATTGGAGTAAAATTTTTCTGCAGTGTTCATTTTAAAAACACTTAGATGAGCAGTAAAACTGGCTTTCCATGCTGTGTTTACCTGAATGGGTTACACAACTGGTTCAAAATAGAGATACTGGAATTAAAGCAGTATTTTGCATGTACAATATCATTATAAAATGCATAAGGATGTATCGAGATGCATTTTATAATTGCTTTTAAAGAAGAAGCCCTCTGTTTTTCTGTAGAGCTGTTTTTGTCATGAAAACACAGAAAATATATGACAAACCATATCGTACTTTAATGTGGTTGTGTTTAAAGTATAAATGCACATCTGCAGCTCATAAAATATACAGACATTTGTGGGACTGGTTATTAATTCAGTGAGTGTACTATTTTTTTCATTGCCTATGAGCTCATTTTAATTATATGGATGGATATTAGCTTATATCTTTCGAAAGTTTTAGCTTTTGCTTTGTTACATTTATTATTTTGTTATCGTGGATTTTGCATCAGAAAAATCAAAGTAGTTCTATTATTTTGAATGCTGTTAAATATTTTACACAAATATGTGAGAGGGGAAAAAAATACATTGTTGCTACTCTAAAGGACTGATAATTTGCCTTTGATTGGAGTGTACAGGCTGGAGCTTGAGTTCTGTAATGGCACAGATACTCCGTATTTTTGGGACCTTGAAGTTGGAAGAAACAGTGACTGCCAAACTTGCAAAACAAGAGCTGAATCAGTGGTGACATCTCAGACTTCCCTGAGAGAGCAGGAGGGAAGGGATTTATGCCAGTTTTGGCTTGACTGCTACTCTCTTTCCCAGTCACTGCATGACAAGCTCCCTCAATATGCACCAATAGTCTGTTTTCCATTGAGAAAGCTTATGACACATTGTATCACCTGTTGGCCAGTTCAGTGTGGGAACCAATAGATTAATAATCCAAATTTTAATTGGCAGCAATGCAAAATTATTGCAATGGACCAGAGCTGCTTTCAGATGCACTTATTGCCTTTTTGACGGGAGGAAGAGCAGAAAATCTTCTAAGAAAATATGGCCATTGGAAAAAGTATGTGCTGTAGTCATTAATCTATGTTTGCATGCGTGGCCAACTACTTTTTTGTGAATTACTGTCCAATGCAGATGGCAGCAAATAATTTTGCACAGGTCACACAGCCTTGGTCTTCTCCAAGAGGGATTTCTTCACCTGAAACATAGGCTGCTTAAATAGAGCTGCATTAAATGAATGAAGCAAATAGTAACCAAGGGCCACAACCTTACCGTGCCCCAGGCCTCAGCACAGTGCAAGCTCTTTAGTTGCTAAAGAGAATTCTTAAGGAATATAACAAAGGCTTACTTTAGGGCTCAGTGCCTTGCAAAAGCCTCGTGTCAAAACAGGTGAAAAAGAGGAACAGCACGTGGGAAAAAAAAAAAACGAAACCAACCAACCAAACAAAAAAACCCAAACAAACAATCCCACCCC